TCAGCAACAAACAAAACTTGTCTTCATTCATCAGGCTAACTATGAAAAAACATGTGTATATTTTGCATCTAAAACACAGTTCAATTGTCCTAACAAGTTCACTAAACAAGCAAAATAAGAGTGGATTTTCTTAATATGATCAAGAACACCCTTAACTGAACATAATGTACACCAGTTATCTTGGTTGGTGTGCTAACTAATTCAATGACTGAATCACCAGCCGATTTACTGAAATCGAGAAATTTGGAAGAGCTATTCATAGACTCCATAAATTTCCAATTTCCTGTAATTTCCAACTCATTTGAACAAAAATTGTCAACAAAATACATTTGCTTAATGAATTCAATTACAGTGATAAACCAAAAATATCAGAAAATTACTTTTTATAAGCTAGAAAATTTATTAGTTTCCCTCCTAAATAAGTTGTCTTCTTTTCCTTTTTAATATCAGAACTTGATCTAGGTTAAAACAACTTCGGATTCACATGCCATCCAAATACAACCGTCTTTACATCCAGAACAAATTGACACGATGTGAGTATCTATTTTGGTCAACTCATTTGCATTTCTGTTTTACTTTGAGTGTTCATGGAGTGTGGGTTTTGAACCTTTGGAAAAAGATATATTTACCAATATTTTCCAGGAAATTCATTGTCCAATCATGAGCAACCGAAGTGATAAAAAAAATAAGATACAAAGCGTAGGGAAATAAAGAGAAGATTCTGAGAAAACAAAATAAGCCATCAACCACAAAACCGCATGCTACATCAGCTATATCCAACACGATCCAGAAAAATACCCCTATGCATCAACTCCAATATGCATAAGATAGAATTTGAGAAAATTTACTCACCTCGATAAGTTCCTGTTATGTTCCATGCATGAAATGGACCCAATTTGCTTTCATCTTTTCTAACAAATAACTGCTGCAGGATACATCAAGAGTATTGAAAAACTTATAGCACCCAAAATGATGAGCGGAAGGGGTAAAAAACACATGGAAAATGCAAACAACAGTAGAAGACCCAATCTATCTTTTTCTTAATAGATTGCATCAGACAGAATCATTTTCAAACAAATACGTGATATAGCTAAAGTAAACAAATCTTTGGGGGGGGGGAAAAGTGGGGGCTTTAGATCAAGGCTATTACGATCTTCAAGAACATAGAAAGATCATACAACCCAAATACCAAATGAACGGCTTCTCATCTACCTAATTTGATTTATTTTACCCTTAATTTGTCAGCAAAATGAAAGATTAACAATTTCATGGTAGTTGAGAAAACTTCAAGCCATTGCTATTTAGCTCTCCATTATGAAAATCTACTTGTCAAGATAGCCTAATTTCTGGTTTCAACCACATATATTCCCCGAGCTACATTTCTAAATTCCATCATCAAACTTACTTGACATTGCCCAATGCCCACTTCCATTTTGCAGCATTTCATTATACAAAACAATAACTCGTCAAAACCTATCAAACTGCAATGAGTAAAGCACTAACTCGGGAAAGAAGAAAATTATATATAAAAAAACCCATTTGACAAAAATCAGAAGCACAATAACCAATTCCAACTACGAATTTGACATCCATAAGCAAAACCCAAATTTTCATCATAGCTTAAGGGGGGGAAAGAATCAAATTTAACAATGATTGACATCAATAAAGTCTGGAACTAAAAGAGCACCAACCTCATCGCCCCATGAACGAGCCCTCTCCCTTATTGGTCTCAATCCTGCCGCCGGCTTCAACATAATAAAACAAAACCATAATCCAAAAACAACCCTGAACACAAACCCTAAGCTCCTCCTCTTCGAAATCCACAAAAAATCCAAATATTCCCTGGTGATCATATCAAAACCCCAACATCCCATTTCAATAAAAAAATCCATACTAATTTTGCTTCCTCTTCTAAAAAAAGAAAAGAAACAAAGCATCCAACTTCAATTTCCCAGAAAGAAAGCAAATATATTCGGAAACCGATTTAGATGATGCATTGTCCACTGCACATTAAGGAGGGCCCCAATAAAAGAGATTGCTTAAAGTAGAATTATCTGAACCAACAAACAACCAAAGACCAAACAGTAGAAAAAGAGAGCCTCAACAAACTAATCCTCTCTCCCCTTCCTCTTCCGGTGTATATATAAAATCTAATTCTTTTAAAATTGGTTTGATTTAAGCACATAACATAAATAAACCCCCAGAAAAAGGACTTTCACCATAAACAAATTTGGACCCGGAGACACAAACAAAACACTTATACGAAAATATCAGAAAATACGTGAAGATTGCATGAGAGAAATTTTTAATCTAAAAATGGTTTGGCAAAGTGGAGGGTTGTTGTTGTTGACATGTTTACTTGAGTTTTGGTAATTAGAAGTCGAGAGAAAGGGAGTCTCCGCCCTCTAGGTTTCAGTCGGTTCCGTCACGCGTGCTGGAGATACGTACCAATGAGGGAGAGTCAGCTATGTGGTATACCTTTTTGTTGTATAAATCAAGATTAAATAATCTTTTTTACTTGAGGCTGCGACATGAGAAACAACTATCAGATTTTATTCGTACGAAAATTAAAATATTATGTAAAATAATATTTGAATTTGTTAATTTTTTTTTATTCATATTAATACTTGAATTTAAATTTTTGATTTGAATAAATGAAGCATGATTTAAAAATATCAAGTTATCTTAATGAAAAGATTATAAAAAATCAATAATTAAAATCGGCTAAAAATTCAATAATCAACTTGAAAAGATCGTTAAACGCAAATATTTATGTCATTTTATCTATAAATTCTTTTACGGAATATAATTTCAATGGCGTTATATTATCATTTAAAAAATTTATCAATTATTTTATAACATTTGAAAATTCATTAACTAAAAAAATATTTTAACATAAGTGGCCTCTTGTATATTTAACCATTTTCCTTTTTACCGTTGGTTGGAAATATCTATTAAACGGTACGAGTATTCACTTGAAAAGATTTTAAATTAAAAAAGAAAGGGTAAAGTACACAAATTCAGTTATCTCCTAGCCAACTCCAAACCAGCTGACACAACAACTCAAAACAACGCCAACTTCTCAACATTCATTCCGCTTCTCAACTTCTTCGACCAAAGAAAAAAAAAATCGACAAGCACCATTGGAAGCACAGACTTGCAGTAGAGATGGAACTTTTAGACCCTGTCGCAACTCTTGAAAACGAACAGTAGGGAGCAGTTTTGTAAGCACATCGGTAATTTGAAACTGAGCAGGGACAGTTTACTTTTAAGTTTTAACATTTGATCTGCAACTTTCTCACACATAAAATGGGCGATTTTTCTCAAAAATCACCCTACACCTATATATTTCACTTTCAGACACCGTTTAGGCTAATTTTTCGATTTAACACTCTTTTATAGAAAAATATGCCCTCGCAATGCGTTTTAGGTTGATTTAGCGTCACGTGAGGTAAGGTGCGCCCTCTTAAGCGCTCTTTGTTAAATGTGTAAAACATTCGGGTGCTAATTTGTAAATATTTTTAAAATGGTGTCTAATATGTAATTAATTTATGTTAGAGTGATATATGTGTAAAAACGCCAACTTTATCTATTTATTTTTTTTGTGGTATTATTTTTAACGATAGTTAATAATGTTTATTGACTTTTAAAATTAATTATTTAAAAATATTAAAATAAACTTTTAATTACAATTGAGAGATCAAATTAATTATTATTCACTTTTTTTTAAAAATAAATAAATATGCAATAAAATTCAATAAAATTCAATAAAAATATAATGTAAAGTTAAAAAATATCACCTATTTATTTAAAATATTCTTTCTAATATTAATTTTAAAAAATATAAAATAAATATTAAATTTTAATTTTATTAAAAATGAATAAACATTATTAACTGTTTTTAAAAAATAATAATTAATGAATAATAATTCATTTGATCCCTCAATTGTAATTAAAAGTTTATTTTAGTCAAGTTTATGATTGTTAAACAGTCGTAGGTGTGGAAAGCTACAGGAATCGAATGAAAATTCGATCGTACAAAGTCAATAACTTAAAATTGTCTAATTGTTGTCTAAATATCAACTCAATTGTACCACGAATAAACATACGATCAAAAGAGTTGATCTTTTCTGCTCAATCTTCACAAAAACTGTTTTGTATCATCATTAATTATTATTTTTTAACAACAGTTTAACATAAAGGGCATAGTTCCTAGAGTCGCTTCTGTTAATTGACCATCCATCAAGCCGAATCTGGATATCAGTTTTAATGTTCTGCATGATATCACTCACCGGTCTAAGCAATCCACCATATAACCTGCTATTCTTTTCTCTCCATATGGCATACACATAGCTCGTCAACGCAAGCTTAAACACTCTCGTAAGGAGGGACTTTCCTTTAAAGCAGTGGGTAGCCCATGAAATCTCACCTTCCCAGTGGCTTACTCTTCGGTTAACTCCACAGAGCAGAAGAATGGCCTTCCACAGGCTTTTAGCATAATCACATTCAAAGAAAATGTAGCTTATAGTCTCAGGCACCAGATCATAGAAGAGACATCGATCATTCTCTATTACTAAACCCATTCGCATCAATCTCACCCGAGTGAGGAGTCTGTCTAAAATGGCCATCCACAGAATTATGTTGTGCTTGGGAATGCGCCCGGAAAACCAAACCATATGATGCCAAACAACCTTTGGAGCCATAATGTGCAAGTCCTCCCATATCTGCCTTGTATTGAGGACACAGTCATGGTTAACAAAAAGATGGCTAACCGTATGTCTCATCTTCAACAACTTTTTGAAATTCCAGCTAAAATTAGTAGGAGGAACCATCTGCCAAAAATTTGCATTTTTAATAACATAACACCGAGTCCAAGCCACCCATAAGGATCTCTCATCAGCCAATAAGCTTCGAATCAATTTCACAGAACAAGCCCTATTCCATCCTTGTATGTCAATAACACCAAGCCCCCCTTCAGACTTCGGCATACAGATTTGTCTCTAGCTCACCCTAGCTCCCTTAGCAGGAAGATCATCACCCTTCCAAAAGTACCGAGAACATAAATGCTCAACTTTTTTTATTACCCCCCGAGGAAGCATAACTTGCCTACACCAGTAATTTGCTAGGCTAAACAGGACAACACGCACCAACTGAAGCCTGCCAGCAAAACTCAAATGTTTATTTTCCCACAAATTCAACCTAGCTCTGATTTTATCAATAAGACTAAGGCAGTCTCTCTCCGTGAGCTTATTGGTCACCAAAGGGATCCCCAAGTATCGAACAGGGAGCTTGCCTAGTTTAAAACCAGTGCCCTCACTGATGACATTGCAATGAGCAACAGTTAAACCGGCTACAAAGATATCACTTTTGCTAATATTGAGCTTCAACCTAGACATAAGATAGAAAACTTCCAACACAGCTTTGACGCCACTAATGGAGTCAATAGAGGGCTTGCAAAAGATGAGGAGATCATCCGCGAAGCAAAGATGGGTTAAGCCAATCCTTTTACACTTGGGATGGTAGTTGAAAATCCCCTTAAGGGCAGCCATGTTCTAAAGATTTGATAGCACATTCATGGCAAGCACAAAGAGATAATGTGAAAGGGGGTCACCTTGTCTAACTCCACGAGCCCCCTTGAAATAGCCAACTAAACTGCCATTTATTACACAAAAGGGTAATTTTCCTATTTTATTCTCCAGCAAAAAAAATCCTTTTAATTTCTTAGAAAATATTGAGAATCTATCTTCCATTATACGGAACACTCATGTATTATATATATTATTGATAGTGGTGGAACCTAGTGATAAAGTTTGGGTTAATTTAAAACTTTAAAAAATTTAGAAGTTTAAATTAATTTTTTTGATTGGTTTACTTTACATTTTTCCAAAAACATTAGGGTTTAATTAAATTTTTTAAAATTTTGAGAGGCTTAATAAGAAAATTTTAAAATTATGAGAGAGGATTTAATTAAGAATATTAAGGAAATTTAAAGTTTAATTTGAATTTTTAAAAACTTTGGGGGACCAAAATAATTTTTTAAATTTAAGAATCTAAGCAAAAAAAAAATAAAATTTTGGGGGTCATGACCCCACTAGTCTTGATTATGTTCCACCACTAATTCTTGATTTCTGAAAGTATTTTATACCATCTTTTCATAAAAACTTAAGTATTTTGAGGATCATATTGTAAAGGTTTAATATAAAATTAAGTGTCAAAATTATATTTAAAATTATTTTTTGGTGTCTTAAACTTTTTTTGTTAAAAACAAGTTATTAATGTTTTATTCGTTATCCTTTTAGGACTATCGTTGAAAAATCATTAAGTTAAACGTCTCATGTTCCCTTTTTTAAAAAAATATTTTATTCTTAAAAAAATAAAAAAAAATATAAATGTGGCATTTGTCACTTAACAATTTTTTAACCAAATGCACTTTTAGGTGAAACAGAGAAAACATTAATCACCTATTTTTAATGAAAAAAAATTTAGGCATAAAAAATTAATTTCAAGTATAATACACTTATTTTATTATCAAGCTTATTATTAATAATATGTGTAATTTCTTTTAATAAGATTTTTATTAAAATTTTATCATTTATAAAAAATAATATTTTTTAAAAAAATAAAAAAAGTATCAAAATAAAATTTTAATCACAGCTAATGGGTCAAATAAAATATTAATCATTAATTTAACATATCATATTATTCTCTTAACGATAATTAATTAGCGTTATAAGTGTCATGTCCTTTCTATAATATATACATTTTTTGACCATTTAAAATTCAATGTCTAAAAGAATGTTTGATATAATTTAGTGATATTTTCGAACTTCATATTTAATAAAAAAAATGGTTGTTATATTCTATTATTAGTTCAATTTGATTATAAAATAATATTTATTTAATTTTTTAATTAATTAATAATAAATACATCTTAAACTAATAAGCATAATTACTTAAACTCATAAATTTTGAAGAAAATAATATTATCTTTCACACCTAGGTTGCTCAATAAATTCTTCTTTGTTTTCCTTCATAATATTTGTTAAGCAGGGAACTCAGTAATCTTGTCTTAACCTGGCTAGGGATAGCTAGGAAAGTTTGTATGACCGGTAAATCACCTGCATGTTCGCCACGTGTAAGAGTACAAATAGTCAAGAAATAACGACTCCCAATAAAACGCCTCTGCTATTCCATTACCAGCCTACTCCATTCATCTTATAACTCATCCCAAAACTGCAGTTTGGTCAATGGACAAAGTAAGGGCTTTTTGAGATTATGAATTGGTCACATATCTTAGGTTTAAATCGCATTGACTAGAAATCTTGAAAAAAAGTGAAGAACAGAGTAGTGAATTCTTTGAGTCCTTTTGGAGGTTATCTTGTAAGATTGAATTCTTTAACCTAACTTAGAGAGGTCCTACAATATAAAAAAAAAAAAAACTCATCCCAAAGCACTCACCATTTCCATGCTTTTACAACGGAAACTTCCTCCCTCCATTCCCATTCTGTGTATATATATATATATATTCCTTACAAAACCCCAGGCTTCAATCTGCTTCAACTCTCTCATATATATAGATTTTCTTCTCTTAAGGTGTTTTTTTTTTTTGCAGTAGCAATGACGTTTGAAAGAAATATTATGGTGGTGATGATACTGCGTTTTCTCACTTCAACTCAGGGTTACAAGTTCTACGTTGGTGGTAGAGATGGTTGGGTTGTTACTCCTTCTGAGAATTACAACCATTGGTCTGAGAGGATGAGATTTCAAGTCAATGACACTCTCTGTAAGCATATATCCATTTCTCTCTCATTTTTTCACATGATTTTACTAAGAACTGATGATTTGATGCAGTATTTTTTGGGTGTTTTCTTGTTGAACTTGTTGCAGTTTTCAAGTACGAGAAAGGTTCAGACTCGGTGTTGTTGGTAACAAAAGAAGATTACTTCTCCTGCAACACCAAGAACCCGATCCAGTCCTTAACGGAAGGAGATTCGATCTTCAAGTTTGATCGGTCGGGTCCATTCTTTTTCATCACCGGCAACGCTGATAATTGCAACAAAGGGAAAAAGCTCGCTGTCGTGGTCATGGCCGTACGACACAAGCCACCCCAGCAACAGCCTCCTTCTGCTTCTCCTTCTCCCTCGTCCGCTGCGGCTCCGTGTGATTCGGCTGACGGGGTACCAGCTCCGTCGTCGGAGCGGAAATCGGGCTCAGTCAGAGCAGCATGTCCTACTTGGTTGGTGGTGGGTTTTAGCGTTTTGGTCAGCATGGTTTGAGGGGTTATAGAGGGGAATCTGTTGTTATTGTTTTCAGGATTTCTTTTGTCGTCAATAAGATATACAGAGGGGCATCACTCTCTGTAAATGACTTGTGAGAGAATAACCCAACCAAAAATAAACCTGAAAGTATGGATCGGCAAAAAAAATTAGGGACTGCGGTGAGCGTGGATCGAACACGCGACCTTCAGATCTTCAGTCTGACGCTCTCCCAACTGAGCTATCCCCGCAGTTGTTTTATTTCTTCCAACAAAGTAAATAATATTAATACAATTTAGATACTAGTTGATCAAACACTACAGCGAAGGTGCAAACTTGAGCATGTTATAATATATGGATGTTCTATTTATTCCATCAAATTCGATCTATATTATGATGAATATCAATTGAAATTTTGGAGTGAAGAGTACCTACATCTCTGTATTGATATTCATTTTCTAATCCATATAATTCTAAATCCAAGCACTAAGGCTGTGAGTGATATAAATGCAAGATCAAGGGCACATTCATAGTAGATAGTAGCTATAACCTAATTAATTATCATCTCTCTGGGCATCAAATGTTTAGCTGCTTTTTTCCCACAGCTTCGTCACCACCAGAGACGAGCAATAATGAATTTTTCTGTCAATTCAATTGTAGTTTATTAACAGAGTTTTTTCCTGCCATGCCTCGTTCTTCTTTAAGGAGCCTCTTGATTCCTACGATCTTACGGTCATGCTCTTTTAGCATTTGATCTATGTTGTTCGACAGAGCAAGTAATGTACCCAATACGTACATTTTGCTTCCCCTGAGCCCGGGACCTCCACCATGCTGCACCGGTCATTGGTTAGCATTCATAAGAAACAGTGCACGCTAAAAGCCCAAAGGAATCATTGGTTTCACGCTAACTTCGATGAAATTAAGAATGTGGTTGATGATAAATCTTAGTTATGCATGATTTGATCTATTTGTAACCATGGCCTCTGATTAAAAGTTTAAAACAACGTCCAGAAACAAACCTTAACCGGACTCGATTACTCACCGCAGGCTCTTCTACATACTGGCAGTGGCAATTATGTGGTCTTCGGCATATGTCGTCTGACATCCTGTTTTTCAGCAGACTCGAATCCGTTAAATGATCTGCGAGGCCTGCCTGCTAGGTTCACTGCGTCTAGAGTCAAGGGTCAGTGTTTCTGTTTATGGTCTTCAGAAGCCAAAGTTATGCATTTAGATTTTATTAGCATTAGGACAAAGGCTCGAGAGGTACTTCAGAGGGAGAATGATCTGAATCTGAATGAGATTGCCTAGTTCATTTTCATTCAATTATTAAGCACTCAATCATTATGTACTCAGTGAATGTGTATTGTTACAGCTTGTAGGAAAATATGCTCTAGCTGAAACATATAAGATCACTATAGAAATAGCTAAACTTTTAAGAGGTGTAATCTGATTCTTAATCAAGGTAAGGATCTTGTAGACAATGTGAATGCTTTGATTGACACTGATCAAAAGAGTGAAGGTGACATTGGAGGAGATGAAATTAAATGTGATGAATATGATACTGATGTAGAACTTATTTGTAGCTATGTTGTTTCCATATGAACTGTGTGATTGTTACTTTTCATACAAAGACGGTTGATGTTATTTATGTTGAAACTTATTGTTTTGATAATCTAAGAGTTTTATAATTTAATTTTTGTATGACACTTGTTTTATAATATTAGTTTTTTCTTTTGTTTTATTTTTATTAAAAGAGTAATATTTTATATTTTAAGATTGTTGATGTTATATGTATCTAAATATTGGAGCTTTATGGGTATTTCTATGATCAAGTATAAATATCTATTTTTCCCTAAACACTTTGATGTAACATCATGGTAATCATAGAAGTATAATAATATATAAAAAAAAATCATCTCACCATTTCTTTTTTACGATTTATTATTTTATGTTTTTTTCTAAAGAAATTTTTAAATGTGAGATAATCTAATACAAAATAATGTCAATAAAATTAAAAACACAAAAACAAATTCTATAAATTGCATTGTTTAATAATGTTTTTAAATTATCTTATTTTTTAACATTAAGTGGCATAAATTCATGACGTATTTTAAAATCGTCATTAAAAAAAAAGATAGCAATAAGTGACAAATATTGATTTCGTCATGCTAAAACTATTTTTTTTGTGGCAATAATAAAACATAACTTTTAATGTCTTATAAAATATGACGAATTAAATTGTCACGAATAAAATTTATTTGTGACAAATGTGCAACGTCACTAATTGAAATCGAATCGTCATTATAATAAATTGTCACTAATATATTTTTTTATTTGAGACGATTTTACAATGTAATTATTTTATCTAAATGTCATTAAAAGATTTCCCACTAAAAAAATTGGTGGGAAGATTTTGGCCCCAAGCATATAGTGAATAAAATCAATGATCATTTCTGAAATTGTCATAAAAATATATCATTAATCAATATATATGTCGAAAAGAAGAAAAAAAAAACATCGCATAGTATGTTTTGTGATGTTATACATAATGTCATATAGAAATTTCGTCAAAAATTGACAAATTTGTTGTGGTATCTTGCTCCGGGAAATCTCTACTTTCTTATTTTTGCAGCAACCATCAGGTGTCTGGTTAGGGGTGCAGGATGATCAAAGTACCAGAAAAGGCATCTGCTTTGCCGGTATTGTGAATCTGATGAATAACCTCCTCTCTTCCCGATGAATTAGCTCGTCGAACAAACTCGTCTAATGAATGTTTTCGCTTCAGCCTCCCTTGGTGGTTCTCACGGCTATCTTCAACAGCCGCAGACTTAGAAGTAGAACTCATGCAACCCACGTTTATAAATTATGTAAACAATTACTATCACCTACAAGTTACAACAAATAACCTCCTTCAGCAACTTGAATTCACCATTTAAACCAATACTGCCAAGGAATTCAAAAGTCCTTTATATCCAATCCATCAAACAGCTGAAAGAAATCCAAGCTGTATCCTGAACTCTTTTGAACAATTCAAGTCACCCCACATAATCAACATCTTGGGGTTGAAACGGCTTAAAAGCTTTCAGGGTCAACTCCACATGATCAGTTGTTTATTCCGACATCCGACTCTTTTGTTAGTTTGCTTCAGTTCCTGGTCGGGTTGTTGGTGTTCACGGTAGTGTCTTTGTGGGGGACAAAGAGTGTGCTGAAACTTAATAGCTGTTTTGGCCACCACCATTTTATCTTCAACCAGCCGGAGTATTCCCCTTCGACTCTCATGTAAATTGACTTTAGAAGAGCCGGGAGGAATAGATGATGATGACCTAAAGAAAGGTAAAAAAACAAAATACCTACAGTGAGCGTGGATTAAACACGTGACCTTCGGATCTTCAGTCTGACGCTCTCCCAACTGAGCTACCCCTGCGATGCATTTTTTGGTTCAACAAAACAGTAGATAGTCATACAATGCAGATACTAGTTGATTACACACTACAGCCAAGGTGCTAACTTGTGCATGCTATAGTATAGTATATGAATGTTCTATTGATAGTAGCTACAAGCTAATTAAATATCATCTCTCTGGGCATCAAATGTTTACCTGCTTTTGTCCACAGCTTCACCACCAAGACACAAGCAATAATGATTTTTTCTGTCAAGTCAATTGTAGTTTATAATAGAGTTTTTTCTTTCCATGCCTCGCTCTTCTTCGAGCAAACTCTTGGATCTCACGGTCATGCTCTTTTAACCTTTGATCCACGTTGGACAGAGCAAGTAATGGACCCGATACGTACATTAATTTGCTTCCCCTGGGGCTGCGACCTCCACCATGCTGCACCAGTCATTGGTTAGCATTCCCCAAGCATGGTGGAATAAGTTAGAAACAATGTCAAGAAACTAACCGTAACCGGACTCGATTCCTTACTGCAGGCTCTTCCAGTTCCACCTACAGGCAATTTGATCAATCAGTTGTTGATTGGGACAGCCGATGGTAATACAAGAAAAGAAGTTAAATGCTGTAAAAGGCATAATTGAAAATTGTTGGTGGGGTTGGATAGTCCATTAATGGAGGACCAAAGCATAGGCTGTCTGTCTAAACTTTATAGTAATTTTTTTTCAAAGGAACCAAGTGTCTGGTTGGATCCCACTTTATTGCTTTTTCCACAAGGAATAATAATTATTATTTTTAAAAAGAAATTAAAAATAAAAGGAGAGGAAAGTGCTTGGCAACCCCAGCAAGGTATTGTTTTTTTTTTTTTTTTTGCATTTTTGCAAGCTTCAGCCTAATTAAAGAATGAAAGAGGTTTTGTATTTATGTTTTAAGAACTGATGTAGAAATAAATCACACTTAAAAAAGGCGATTTTGTTCACGTAGTTGTTCTATATAAGAAATATTGTCATTTTATTATATTAATTTCAACTTTATGATTTATATTAATATAATTTTTTGTTCGATAAAGATAATTATTGATTAAATTAATTATTGAAATAAATTTAAATACCAAAAATATAGTTGTAAATGTTGTCCTTAGCCTCTTACTGGGTACATAGTTTTGCTCAAAGCATTCCAAAACTGTGACACTATTTACGAAGCACGTATGGACACGACCCAATAAAATAGTGCCATGTGCGAAAGTTAAATACTTTGATACTAACTGCGCTTGGTATTTCTCGTTAACTAGGTCGCTCAAATCTGATATTATCTACATTTTCATCATCTCATCCCAAAGATCCAAAAAATATAAGAGAGAATCAGAGGAGAAAGGCATGAAACAGGAGCAGGGACAAGAAGCGCCGCCGTCCACTTCCGTCACCTCAGCACCACTACCTCTTCTTCTTCCTCCTCCTCCTCCTCCGTCATCGTCACCATACACGTTGTTTCTAACGATTATGAGCAAAAGGAGAACATGGGTATTTCTGTTTGTGCTGGTTTATGCCATCCTTTTATCTTCTTCGTGGAATTCCCTGAAATCGATACTGTCTTGGTACAAACATGTCCAAGCCCAGCCGTCATCTCCTTCCTCCGGTTGGCCTGCCGTATATGCTTCCGTCCTTGTCGGTGCGGTTTTCGGGTTGCTTTCCATGGTTGCGGCGCTGGCTGTGGCGGTTCCGGCTACTTTGGTCACGTGGATAACTATTGTGGTTTTGCTCGCTTTCTTTGGGAAACCGAAGAGGACTTTAGTGGTTGAAGGAAGGAAAATCACGAGAGAGATCGCTGGCTCCGTGTTCAAGATTTTGTTGAAGGAAGGGAACCTAGTAGCTGCTGTTTGTGCCGTTTTGGGCTACTATGCACTCGTCGGGAAGAACTCCGGGGAGTGATTTTAGGCCTTATTTTAGCCGGAATCAGGTTTTTGCATTGTGGATATTTGAAGAAGAAAATGTCGATTTTTGTCGACTTTTACTCTCTTTTCTCCATCTAAGACATTGTTTTTGTTATCACAGGGCTATGTTACAGTTACTCCTGTTTTTGTTGGTTCCCTGAATAAATGGAATTACGACCTGCACATCATATATACAACACAGCTGGTCTTGAGTTTCTTTGAAGGTGTAGGGTGAGTAGGGGTGGGTAAAAAATATCAGAGTCGAATAATTTGAGCTGTTTATTCGATGATTCGATCCAAATATTTAGATGATTAATTTCGTTTTTTCAGATAATTCAGATCAAATATTAAATAAAAATTTTGAATAATCAAATACGGATAGAATAAATTTCAATTTTAAATTATCTAATTATCCGGAAAAATAAATGTACGTTTAACCCCAAGCTCAATAACCTTATATTTAATGGGGAGCTCTCCCAAAGCCCAGCCTAAAATAACAAATGCATCTGAGATCCATGCTTATTTCTAGTCTATATATATATATATAATGACTTAAACCACCTTCTAAGTGGGTATTCGATTTTTATTCAATCGATTAAACAAATATATTTTAGGTAAATTATCTAAACAGTCACCCATGGTAGGGTGTTAATGTTTTTGTAAAATATTCTTACAATTAGTTATTTTAATTTATATTTTGATTATTCAATTTTAAATGTTGGCGTTTTTATTGTTCAATTTTTTATATTAACCATTCAACCATTCAAGATGAAATATTTAAAACCAATGTATCATTTATATTCTGATATTTTTATTAGTAATAATTTTAGAATTAATTTAAAAATTTTATATTTTAATAATAATTTTCTAATTTTAGTTTTTTTTTTTTACTTTTAATAATTTTTATTTTTAATTATAAATGATATGTTCGAATCGGATATTCGAATATCTGACGTCTTCCTAATATTCAAGTGATCGGTTGTGGACCATCTACCGTATAATTATTGAAAGTGGTCTCACCCAGACCATCTTCACATTCACATGGCCATTTGAAATGAGAGCGTTTATTAAAACGTAGCTTCTCCTGCCTAAAGTAATCAAATCTTAAGTGACTCGTTTTAGGTGGAAAAATCCATGTTAAACGATATTGTTAAAAGAGACGGTCATAAATTTCGAATATATACGAAAATATTAAGATAATAATAAGAAATTATTATATATACAAGTTGTATAAATAATTATGTATGTTTGAACTTAAAATCTTAAATCTTAAATTCTAAAAATCTCACTTTAAACTTTAAACATGACACGTGACACTAAAAAAAACCTTGAGGTCGTGGGATCGAGTCCCACGGATGGCATTTCATAATTTGGAGGTCTCCCACGGAAGCTGCTCTTAACCTGGCGTTGGGGGCAGCCTACTATCCTACCTCCCCTTACATATGGGAATAAAGGTCAGCTAATTTTGTATAAATTATAGTTTACACAACCTATAACTCAGACAAACTCTGATAAAGAACAAATGCAAGATTTTATGTTAATAGATAAAATTTTTAAAATATTGAAGGTGACAAACATATAAAATTTTAAGGAATAAAAGCTTATTATTAATAAAAATATAAAAATATAAAAATATTTAAAATATATGATAATTTAAAAATTTTAAAGACGGTTCCATTCAACTTCTCACCCCTCAGTCAATTCTTGTACATCATAATAAATTCTTGACAACTAAAATAGACATTGGGGATGGGCTTAATATGTATGCGTCCTAAAAATGAAAATAATATTTTGGGTTAATAAGGAGAAACCCAGTATTATTCTTAGCCCAATTGATAAATGTTTTATCTGCCTGGTTTTGTTGCTGACATGACATGGTGGTGTTTGGTTCCCACTTCACAGTTCAAGCCAGGAGGCAAAAACATAAATAGTTCTTTAATTTTCAGTTAACATCTACATGAAGTTGACCTATGTATTGAAAATGGAACACACTAAGCAGCAGTCAACTGTACTCTGTCCTAAATCGCTACATTATTAAATTAATTAATGTGACTGGTTTAAGACTGATTCAATCTCCCTTTGCCTCTATAATAATATTATATACCCATCGTTTCTTCCGGACTAGTGGCGTTTGTAATTTTTTATTAGGTTAATTACATCATTTTTGGGTCAATTTTTTTCTTATTTTAAGCGAAGTAAGCACATTCTTACAAATGCCTATAATTACACATGGTCAACGAGTTGATGAGTGTCGATATCACTGTAAGGTCATCTCATCATTGTCAAATGATAGAAATTAAGATTCCTCATGATTTCTTGTAAAAGTAGAGCTTAACGTAAAATTTACCTTATACATATCGGTGGATGATTTTTTGTAATAATGCAGCTAAAAAAATTATTTGAATAGTATACCCAAAAGATATTTTGTTCGAATAGAGTGAATGTTATAGTAAACATCGGAGTTGCATTGGACTTTCGGCGTCTCCCTAAGGTCACATAGAACACCATGCGACTCCCCCTCCCCGAACCACCATGCATCTTTCCCAGTGTTGTTTTTTGCAATAATATATGCTTTTTACTTTGTTACATATATATATATATATATATATATTATGTAATAAATTTTTGAATTTATTATTGGGGAAAAAACATGGTGGTATGGGGGAGAGGAGGGTCGCATGGTGTTCTATGCGACCTTGGGGAGACGCGGGGGCCTAGTGCGACTCCGATGTGTACTGTAACATTCATTTTATTCGAGCAAATAATCTATCGGGTGTATTATTCGAACAATTTTTTTCTGACTGCATTATTGCAAAAAAATACCCCATCCCGGTACTCATAAACATCGAAATAATTTAATATTAAAAATATAATGACTTACATGACATCTTTTTTTTTAAGTTTATGTGAATTAAATCACCATTCGGTGGATTAAATTTAATACATATGAGATAATGTGAGGCAATGATAAAATTGTTCATGATAGACTAAAATATGCATATAAAGTCAAGGGTTCAAATCTTGGTATTTACGAATGGAACAAAATAAATTAAGAGGGACACCTTCACCTCTACAATATATGATATTGATTAATCGATTAATAACTCACATGTCAATAATTATTTCAAAAACTAGACTACATGGGAGAGAAATCGTTTTGATAAATAACCGAAAACAATGGCAACTAGGAGATGTATAAAACAGCTCTTATATTATTAAAAGGAAAAAACAATGAAACTTGTTTAAATCAATGCTAGGGTTTAGGGTCATCTTGTTTGGAGTGGAAGATGACTAAATGAATATTAAGGTGTAACTTTTCAAAAGCAGGATGATGATGGTGATGGAATGCACCATCTGCTGGTTTTGACTGAGAATTTTGAGTACTTTGAACAATACCAGAAGTGGGTTGCAAGGTCGAAATCTGTCTTTATTACCCATGGTACAATTAATATGTCTTTAACTGAATTTAAAAATTACTCACAAGATGTAAAAAAAAAATTAAAACAAAAGTATATCTATATAATTTTTATAAAATAAATATTTTAATTTAATATATATTAACGATATATAAAGTTATATCATTATCGAAATAAATTAACACGTCACGAGTTTAATAAATGAAGGATCAGAATGTAAATTTATTAAATTTCTACCTCGCCACGTAACTCTTTCTTTATTAAGCAATACTTTTAAATCTTCTCAGCTGCATTATTAATTTATTATTGTCCCACCGGATCTAATATATAGTTATAAATAAAAGCTAGCAAATAATAAACGAGTGTTTATGTCACTGCCAAAAGCTAAACATTATTATAGATTTCAATATTTATAAATATCAAAAATTAGTTTTCAAAACGATTCGTTTTTGTAATTTGTTGTAGTACCGCATGAATAAAGATTGCCGACACCTTCAACAATCAATTGGTATAGTGAGATGAGACATTATGTTCCTTAAGAAAGATCAAGGATTTGAATCCTGACCATTGTGAATGGAACAAACTGGATTGTAAGAGTTACCATTGCCTCTGCAATATCCAATCTGAATTAATCGGTTAATAGTTCGGATACTAATGATTAATTAAAAAAATTGCCGACACCAAACATTTGGTTCTAACGATCCAACTACTGATCAGTCTGCGTGCTAATTATTAATTAATCACAAAGTTTAATGATTATATATTTATATTCAAAACGTTAATAATATATAAATTACCAATGAAATAAAGAAATGATATCATCCATTAAAATAAAAATAATTATTATATATTTTTGTTAAAATTAATAATCCTAATCATAGCAAATCAACACATTAATGTGGTCCCTCACGCTGGCCAGTGACCTAATTTCCTTACCAAAATATATACAATTAATTTCTCGCCATTTTTGTGCTTTGCATAAATCTCGTTCGATAAATTTTTGCTTTTTATAGTATTCTTTTCAAGCAAATGGACAATGATATAAGGGAATCAATTTGTCGTCTCAAAATATGGGTAATTTATTGATTTCATTTATATTATAAAATTTTAATTTAATTTAATTATGTCGTTCAAATTTTATTATTAATAATTAAATCACTTATATCAATATTATTAAATCATTTAGTATATCATTTTCACTCTATATTTTCTACATATCATAATAAAATAATGTTTAATTAATAATTTAAATATTTTTTGTTATTTTTTTCTTAAATGTCTCATTTAAGTAAATTAAAAAAAATAAATTGCACGAACTGAGCGATCTCAGTGTTAAAAGAATTGATGTTATACTTGAGGTCCCGGGTTCAAGCACCAGGAATATCAGGGGATTATAAGCGTTCAATGTCAAATAATTGAGAGGTATCTTTAAACAGATATTGCCTTATACTATTTTACATAATAGGTAAAATATATATCAAGTAAAAGTATCATTTCATTTTTCTATTAAAATTATAGGTAAACTATGCATTTAGTACCTAAGCTACAATGGTTTTGGTTCATTTTAATACTTAAACTTTCAATTCTTTTAAAATCATACCTAACGTTTAACTTTTGTTCCATTTAGGTATTAAACACACTAAATTTTGAATGAGGGTAATAAAAGGAAAAAAAATTAAACTTTAGGTATGATTTTGATTTTTTAAAAAAAAATTTAAGTACTAAAATAGACCAAAATTGATAATTGAGGTACAAAATGTATAATTTATCCTAAAATTATTTAACGGTGTTAATGTGAGTGATTTAGTTTATTAATAATAAAAGTTACCAAATATAATATAATATAATTAAAGTTTGTAATCCAATTGAGAGTTAAAATTAACTTTATGGATCTAGAATGTAAAATACTAAAAAAGAGTAACTGGGATAATAGGTTGTTTATATAAACAAGCAAGAGAGCTCGTTTCTATCGATAATCATTTGATCTAGTGGAAATGAAATATTGAATTTTTTAAGCGAGTTCAGAGATTTGATTTATAACATTGTGAATAAAACAAATTAGATTATGGGATTGTCCTCTATATTAAGTCTCTATAGTACCATGAACCTTCACATCAATATCGTTAATTATCAATAACAATTAAATGATGACGAACAACTAGTTGGTCTAGTGGGCGAGACACTAGATCCTTTAAGCAAGGTTGATGGTACAAATTTTGACATTTGCAAATGGAGCAAACTATATTAGGTGAGTCGCTTTCACCTCATATCTCAGTCAATAGGATAACATACAACTTAGATTGTCGTTAATTTTTTAACGGAAAAGGACGCGTTTAGAATATAATGAATATTCAAATGATCATTTTATAACTTTTAATAGTTAATGGACTCAATAAAGTAGTATCCTATAGTTATGGACCATTTGTGTACTTTACCCATTATTTGTTAAGTCTAAATTTAATCAAAACTTTTAAAAATACCACATCTGAAAAAGTCTTCCGATTGCCTACGAAATAGTTCAAAGTAGAGGGTGATTACATGACCGAGAATTAATTTGTCAAATAAAGCAACAATCAAAGGAAAAATTCTCGCTGAGAGAAAGAAGTATAGATGTGCAATGAGTGTAGCCCACGTTGTCGGGCTCTTCACATGGGAAAACTTTTGTCGGTCATCATTCACAATTTCCCTCACCTAATCAGATTTCTCATATCAGACCCGACCATGTATCACACAACAAATGGAATCCCACTCTTATTTTAACCTATTTTAAAACAAACAACCAGAGAAAAAGGTCCAGACTTTGGCAGTTGCAAACGCCAAGAGAATCCAAGTTCCCCTTGCAAATGAGGGTTGAAATTGTTTTTCTTTATTGTTATCATTTTCGTAGTGTTTTTCTCCGGCAAATATTCATTTTTGTTTTTTTTACAGGGGGAGGTAATCACATTGGCCATCTAATCCATGGGTGTTGTTGAAATGAAAGAGACTTGTTTGTTTCAGGAGTAGCTATAGTAAAATCCAAGGAAACTTGGGGGGAAATCAGGTGCAGTGCTTATATCTGAGATTGCTGATACCAACATTCCACCATTCCCAATCTTACATTTTTCTTTGAAGCTCTCTTAATCTTTGCCCCTTCCTTTTCACTTCCTTCATGTGGTCTCGTTTTCTGGTATTAAACCCCCCAAAATCCTGAATAGAAACCCGTGAACTTGCAAATCTATCTGCCCCTGTTTGTTATGTCTTGAAAGGAGTCATCTTTATACTGTTTTTTTGTGTGTAACCTTATGAAGAAGGATCTGCGTTTGCATTGGAGTTTAAGGTACTGTAAATCTGTAATCTCCACTTTGGGTATCCTCAAATTTTGGAACTTTGTTGAAATAGAGCCAAAAGGGTACCCAAATAATCTCTTTTTTTTCATCTTTTTTATCTGGGATTTTTTTATGTTGATTGATTTTCAGATTGCTAACTATATATAGGAAGACGATGGCTGGCAATGGGATGTTATACCCAATTCTTGGATTTGCTTCGTGTATGGCTTTTATTTTTATGTCTTTTGGTGATTTGAAGCTTAGTAGTTTCCCTAGGGAACGGGGATTAAGTTTTGTGGAAAGGAATGGGACTCAGTTCTTTTTAGATGGGAAACCATTGTACGTTAATGGCTGGAATTCTTACTGGTTAATGTCCCATTCTGTGGAGGAAAATACTAGACCTAAGGTCAGTGCAATGCTTCAAGCTGGTGCAAGGATGGGTCTCACTGTTTGTAGAACCTGGGCCTTTAATGACGGTGGCTATAATGCTCTCCAGATTTCCCCAGGGCAATTCGATGAGCGAATTTTCATGGTATTTGTTCGAGATTTGGGTTTTTCTTTTTTGTAAATTTTGATATTTGCATCGCAAATTATCAGTTGTATAATCTCAATCCTATATGATCTGTGTGTTCAATGCAAGCTCCATTTTGGTTTCAAATTTACAAGAGATTATTGCACAGATGCTAATCTAAACTAGTATTGTCTTGAATATAAATATGATAGGGCTCTCTAAAACTGTAATCTAGAAAGTTGGAAATGAAATAGAATAGCAGGATAAGCTATTCGGATTTCAATTTGCTTCTATTTCTAGGCCGATTGATTAGAAATCTGTCAAAAATCATTGAATAATCAACTCAGTTGTGTTCTCGAATGTCGGTTAGTATGATAGTAGCGTACATTTTCTCGGGTATTGTTATTTATGTTGATGAATATCGGTCTTTCCAGGCCTTGGATTATGTCATTGCAGAAGCAAGGCAGCATGGAGTCAGGCTGCTTCTGAGCTTAGTAAATAATTTGCAGCCATATGGTGGAAAGACGCAGTATGTCAACTGGGCGTGGCAAGAAGGCATTGGTTTGAGCTCTTCTAATGATTCCTTCTTCTATGATCCATCAATCCGCAAATATTTCAAGAATTACGTCCTGGTATCTCATCGTCTATCTAACTTTCACCAATATCTTTTCCTCATATTTGAATAATGAAAATTTTCTTCCCCTGCATCACGAAGCATATGTATCACTGCATATCTTCTGTGAATTGCTCTTGGAGTACTGACATTACAATGTTCAAATAGATAAATCTTAATGTTCAAAGGGGAACCCGATTCTGCAAATGTCGCATCAACTTGTTTATAAATTTAGTGCTTACTGTATATAGCCCTGTAAACAACAAGTACCAGGCGTCTCGCTTGTTGATGACAAACACAAAAGTTACAACAATTTGATTGTGAAAGAGAACTGAAAGTGAAAGGAAATGTGTTGTTTCTCTGTATGAAGTGTTATGCTTTCCTTTTTCTTTTTCATCTTTGGACAAAGGGAAGTGTATAGTATAGTTCCATTTATCTTTCTTTTCTAAAAAAACTAGGGGTTATGTTAGCCTGTTGTCTTCCTTTTGAAAATGCAAAAATATTATTCATCATTGATGCATCGCTACAAGCTTGAGCATATTCGGCGGTATGGCACAAGTATGATTCTTTCTGGGTGCCGGCCAATAAGTTGGAAAACAGTATCTTTCTGGGTTCTTCTTTCTACCGATGTATAGACTGAACCTCATTACAAACTTTTAAGAAACATGACAATGTAGTTTCTTCTTACAATGCTCTTTTTCTATATTTGATGGATAATAATTTCAAAAATGCTTTTCTAAGGTGCAATGAAGTCTTATTGTGATGTATTTCTTTCTCCCAGACTGTCCTTACCAGGAAGAACACCATCACTGGAATTGAATATCGGAATGATCCCGCCATCTTTGCTTGGGAGTTGATCAATGAACCCCGTTGCATGACCGATCCTTCTGGGGATACTCTTCAAGTAAGTTATGACATCAGACCGTACACATGTTCTTTTAAGCACTAATTCTGTATAATCGTTGACCAATTATGCTCAACTTAGATGAATGCGACTGTGTTGTGCAACATGTTCATATTTCAGAAAACGGGTTTTATATGTTGTATGTGTTCATCTCAAAGAGCGAGGTTTTACTTCCAGGATTTACCGTTTTGTATCTTAATGGAGTTCAATTTTACGGCATACCATTGCAGGATTGGTTAGAAGAGATGTCCGCTTTCATAAAATCGATTGACAGAAACCATCTATTGACCATCGGCTTAGAAGGCTTTTATGGTCCAAAAAGCCCCAAGAAGAAAACTGTGAATCCGGAAGAGTGGGCCTCACTCCTTGGGTCTGATTTTATGCGCAACTCGAACATTACGCATGTTGATTTTGCCTCTGTTCATATATACGCCGACCAATGGTAAGCAATATTGACCGCTATTCATGAAATTGTACCAGTATGCATGTAAAATATCTTTTGCATGATACAGAATAAGCCTAATCATTTTCTAGTAGGCACTGCTGTGTCTTCAATAAGCATTTTCTCTAATCTTTTTCCATACCCTCTTTGATAGGTTTCATCATCTTGGGTTTGAAGAAAAACGGAACTACGTTTCCAAGTGGATGTGCTCGCACATTGAAGATTGCGACAAGGAACTGAAGAAGCCAGTTATGTTCACCGAGTACGGCTTGTCGGACCAGAACAAAGACTACCAGCCTTCCCAAAGAGAGCTGCTTTATAGAACCATTCTGGACATCATTTATAAATCTGCAAAGAAGAAAGGGTCTGGGGCAGGTGCCTTAGTCTGGCAATACTTTGTTGAAGGAATGGTGGAGTATAGCGATGATTTCGGGATCGTACCGTGGGAGTCCCCTCCTATTTACAAACTGACCGTAGAACACTCGTGCAGATTGGCTAGAATCCATGGACTTGTCGAAGAAAACAAAAACCTCAAACAACTGTGTTCCAAGAGAAGGTGAAGACAAATACAATCAGAAAATTTGATTCTTTCTGACGAAGTAGTTTGTGCGAGGTATAAAAAGTTTATCGGTATTGCATCTTTTTTTTTCCTGATATCCATACAAATTACTATATGGCTAAGTAGATATGCAGATATATATGGTACATGATTGTAAGTTTGCTGCCAAATTTTCCTAGCAGCTGTGAACTATCTTCAATGATTCTGATTCTGGGTTCATGTTAGAAATTCGAATGAATCCCATTTAATTGTGGGTTTTAGTAGAAATTTGGATGAAACCAATAATTCTTTTATTGCAAAAAAAAAAAAACGCGACTGTCTAACCAGTGATCCAAATACGTTAAATCTGAAATCGGAAGGAAGGGATGCGATTATTTACGTTGGGTTCCTTGAAAATTAGCAAAGACAACAGCGGCTAATGAACTTCACGAATGGTTTGAATCCTAGCTTCTACGAAAAATCATCTTGGTCTCTACTTAGTTTACCCTGTTGAAAAGCAGTTGAGAGTAAAACATTTCTTTAAAATTGTTCTAGGAGTTTCGAAATTTTCAAAGGGATTAACGGCTGATAGACCAACATATCCCTTATATATATATATATGTAAATATGAATTTAATTAAGAGTATAATTACATTATTTTAATTAAATTTGGTATTCATGTGTAATTAAAATTACTCACATATATATATCATATATATGTTAATAATAAATACATATGTTATTCATGTACAATCAAATTATACATATGTGACATATTTATAAGTTGCTCTTTTTTTTCAACAATTGGGTGTGACTCTGTAAGTTTCTGTAACATTAGTAGTAATAATTAGAATTATTCTAATATTACAAACAATGAGTGATATCTAGCAATATGTCATTGTTACCTAAGTTACGGGAAGTCATGATTCGACATAACATGTCCGTGACTAACTCTTTTAATGATCTCAAGTCTAAGGATTATACATATAGTTGTCACTATGAGCAATATCGTGACCATCACATAATAATCCAAGACATATGGTCATAGCAGGCCAATCCAATATATTGTTCTCTAACAATGTATTCATGTATTAATTTTGACATCTCTATGTCAATGACAACTCATTGTCATCAATCAATAACATGTTAGTCTTAAACGTATTATTACTATCCATGCTCATAATAATACTTGACTAAGGATCTTCTAATAATAATCACATTAATTTACGGACATTATTATCTTTTAGTTTATTTAATGCACAAAAATACAATAAAAGAAAACAACGGTAATTCCTTTATTTGATAAATACGGTAAATAAAATATGTCAATACAATCATCATATGATTGGTCTTTGGACATACTCTAACACTACCATCACAGACCATTCTCAACTCTTACAAACCATAATCGGGTCAAATCTAATCATCCAAAATGGGTAGTATTGATACTCTACTTGTAGTATTGATAACCCATGGTCAAGTATCGATACCAAAAATAGCTTTGAAGTCCTAAAAAATAGCCCAATATCGATCCCAAACACTTTCAGTATCGATACTCTCCCCAGCAATATCGATATCCCCTTTCTGAAATCCTTAATTTTATCCCCAATTCATCCATTATCGATACATAGCGATACTGGAACCCCGAAATGGTTTGTTTAGGCTCAGGAAACATCTAAAAATCACTCTAAAGGCCATAACTTGGTTATTAAACATGTCTTAAAGCTATAGGAAGTTATTTAGGGTCTTAAGGTAGCATAAAAACACCTTCTTTACAACTAAAATGTCCTTTGATCATAAAATTATGTATAAACCTTAAAATGCTTATTTTCACAAATCCTAGAAATTTCTCATATTTATGAAAGTTTTAACACTCTAAAGGATTAGAAATGCATTACCTTGATGTTTGAATCCCGAAATTGAACTCCTTGCTTAGCCACACACTTCTCCTTGGTGATTTGTATGGAAACCCCCGCTTTTCTTTAGTTAGGAATAAACCAAGGCTTTGATTCTTTAAAACTATGTTGCAAAGGGGATTAAGAACAAAAATGAAACAAGAAAAAAGTTTAAAACCTTACCTTGGAACTATGGCTAATTAGATAAGACGAAGGAAGAAGAAATGAAGAAGAAAATGAAGAGAAATAAATAGGATGAGATATAAAACCCTCATCTTTGCAAAATGAGAAAATTGCACAATTAGTCCTTCTTTGTTTTTCTACAATTTAAAATCTCCTTTTTAAGGTTAATTGGGCCCAAAACAAACCCAATTAAGTCCAAAAACTTTACTTATGAATTTCATGAGGACCACTTACCTGTCGGGTAAATCCACAACTACTAACCCGGAATTTAGGATGTTAAAAATAAGATAATAAATTTATAAACTACCAATAAGTTATATTGAGACCAGGATAATCTTATATTGATTACCTCAATTATTATACTCTATAAACAACTTTATCTTTTATTAGATATGTACTACTTATTTTTTAAAAGCAAATGACATTATCACTCATTCAATCTGAACTTCTAACATAATTTTTCGTAATAACTAATTAAATTTTAAAATAATTATCAACTTTTACAATAAAAAAAAATATACATTAGATCTTTGCTCTAAACCAACTCTTAATGAAAGTTTTCTTTTGTTACGAAAGTTTTTATTTTCAAGTTCGGGTTTTTTATTAAGAAAATCAGTCTCGTTAAAATCTCCCTTTACTCAACAACATTGGTCATGTGAGAGGAAAAAAGTGTTCAAACTATATTGAATTAAATAAATCATACATCGTTCAAAATCTCAGAAGAGATAATCTCGGGACAAATCGAGTCAAAAAACAACGAAGACAAAAAATGAAGAGCCCGTTTAACTAAACAATCAGTAACCACATTGTAAGAACGTTGAACTAAAGAAATATGAAAACCATGAAATGACTTAAAGCGATCTTTAGCCTACTTGAGAAACATCGTCGGCATAGGTATATCTTCATCATTGCGAGAAACTTACTAACCAAGATAGTAAAATCAGATTCAAAATGAACATTAATCCAACCTCGTTCTATGACTAAATTCATCGCAACAATGAACGCGTGAACCTCGGTCAAAGCAGTATCAGACACCACACTTGTACTGCGCAAGTCTATCCAAAACCTGGCCTTTGTGGTCCTGAGCAACAACTCCCACTGCAATAATGTCTCGACTCGGATAAAAGGAGCCATTAACAGGTGATTACTAATGAATACCCAAAGCAGCAGGAATCAAATCAACAAGACTAGCAACCCCAACGGAATTCAGGCCTTGACATGGTGCCGATAAGTTATTCAAGTTCGGGGGTTACGCTTGTATATTTTAAATACTTTTTATAGTTTGGAATAATTAAAATGTAATATTTATTTATATTTTTTAATCTCTTATAATGTATAAACACCATATAACACAATTATTTGAATTCAAGACCTTTAAAAAATAATATTTGTTTTTATCACTAAAATTGTTTAATAGATGTTATAATTATACTTATAATTTTTTTTTATTTAGGATTATCCAAGCATTTTTTTTTTCATACTTTCCCCTTTGGGTTTAGGTAACTTTGGACTCTACATTAAAAGCCATCCAGCGTTGATAAATGTACACAAAAAAATGATTCATCCGAGTGCTCTGTAGCGGGGATAGCTCAGTTGGGAGAGCGTCAGACTGAAGATCTGAAGGTCGCGTGTTCGATCCACGCTCACCGCAAACGCATTTTAGGTTTTCCCCTCTCTATAGAAATTGTTTTTTTAGCTTTTTCCGAGTGAGTAGGGAAGATCAGTCTTCTTTTTGTATGAATCTTCGTGCCGACGACGCTTCGATCTCCGAGCGACTTAAACCGAACCAGGTTCTTTCTTTTTTTAACAATTCTTTAATCAACCCAAAATATTATATATGATTTTTCCCCTTGCGTGCGTTAACGTATGATTACGTGTGTTGGAGTGGATGTAATTTGGTTTTCGTTGCTTTTTGATCAATGATCTTTTGACTTTGACTGACGGCTTTTGATCGGAATTTTCCGTGTGCTAGTGTCTCTCTTGCTAAATGAGCTTCGTATGGAATTCTTTATATGGATTTTTAAAGTCTGTTTGGTTTCTGGGAAAATTCTCTCCACGGGGGAAAAAGTGGAGGTCTTTACTCTCTGTTCAAAGAGAAGCTGAAATAAATTGGTAGCGAAGAAAGTGTTTACTAACTTCCTTTCGCTTTCTTGACATTTTTATCTGCCGCCAAGAAGAGCCGTAGGTCAAGTTTTGTTTTTTTTTTCGATTTGCCAAATTGATTTTCATTTATATTATCTGTTTCTTTCGTGTATACTAAAGAAAAAGCTTCCATGTAATATTTTTGCATGCAAATGTTGATTTGGCAATTAGTATTTTTAATGATTTGATTGTAGTTTTCTTGTTCTTTTCAAATACTGAAAGAGTTAAAATCTGCTAGTGAAGGTTGGGTTCAGCATTTTGCACGATAAACTTCTTGAGAAATGTTTTCTATGCATGAAGCTTGAGACAAAGCTATCATTCTGTTTTTTTTTTTTCCCAATCTCTAAAGAATGCTTAAAACAGATGTTGAGGATAAGCTATTGTCACTATCAATTTTCCAAGTTTTATATAATTGTATTACACTATTTGGAGCCTTGGATATGCAACTCTTTTAAGTTTTCACTTAAAATATTTTGCTTTAACTATATGTTAAGGAACCAATCTTCTTGTTTAGATTCTTCTTTCTGATGCAATGGATATTGAACAAGTTGAAGATTTGACAACGGTTTTGATTGGTTCTGAGAAAGCTGGAATGGACAGCAAGGGAAAGACAATGATATGCTGTGAAAAGAAGTGGGAAGACAATGTGAAGGTATGTTTTTGCATTTTTCAATTAGAAACTTCATTTGCCCTTGGCACAACTTTAACTTTATTTCACCAGTTGTTCTTTAATTGCATTTACGATTTTTTTTTTCAGGATTCTTCAGCCAGTGATCAGGGAAATTCTGTCAGTATAGCAGGGTCTGAGGATAGTAACAATCCTTTCAAGAGTTCTACTTCAGCATCGATCAATTCGAACAATATCAATAGTACTAACTCTTCCTATGCTGATGATGATGAGGCCTGTGATGAATATGCTGATGATTTCTCTGATTACGGTGGCAATGATGATTTCTTATATGAAGATGATTATTCAATTATCCAATCCCATTTTGATAGTGTGGATCTTCCTCCTGGGGTAGAGGCTTCAATTCCTTGGTTGAAAGACTCTGTTCTGCCTCCTTCCCTGGGCGAGAAAGCCACGACATCAAATTTGGCTGATGGCGAACTGAAGCCAGCTTCTACCTATACTTCAACAGTCCCAAGAGAGTCAGTGTCAGATTGCAAAGAAGGAAATGAAGAAAATGGGGATATGCAAAAGTTTCTCAGTTTCAAACATTTCGATGTTGTGGATGATTTCTCAGACCATCATTACAGTGATATAAACTCATCAAGAGGGGTGAGTATGCATCTTGTTTCTCTGTCATGCTAAATTTGTCCTTGTTAATATAATATGATTTTTGCACTTTCTATTGATAGCAACCAAAGGAGTGGGTGAAGCAAATACAAGAGGAGTGGAAGATTCTGGATAAGGACTTACCAGGTGAGTTCTGATATATGGATACATTCTCTGAAATCATGTGTCTTTATCATAGTAATTGGATAAGTAATTAATTGTTGCTCATTAAATTACTTTATCAAGTGCTAACTATTGCCATAACTGAAATTATATGAACATTCCTCAGCTGAATAACATCTTTAAAATTATGCATATCAAACTGTGTGGGACAGGTGCATTGATTTCTGAAATTTGTAGCTTATCTTGAAAATTACTAATTTTTGCTTCGTAAAACCTGGAGTTTTTTTGTTTGAATGGCTCATGCTCCCTCTCTCCATTCTTCTACAGAAACTATAAATGTGAGAGTTTACAAAGGAAGGATGGATCTCTTAAGGGCTATCATTATAGGACCTGCTAGTACTCCATACCACAATGGCCTTTTTGTTTTTGATTGTTTCTTCCCTCCAAAATACCCCCATGAACCGCCGGTATGTTTAGTGCGTATCTGTGCACTTCCCAAAAAAAAATTGTTCATGTTAGAGTATTATTAAGTATAAACTTATTTTACGGTGCTCAAGTGATGTGTGGTAATTTATTGTCAGATGGTTTATTACTACTCTGGTGGTCTCCGGTTAAATCCAAATTTATACAACTGTGGTAAAGTATGTCTAAGCCTTTTGGGCACCTGGCATGGAAACCTGAATGAGATTTGGGTTCCAGGGCAATCAACCATGCTACAAGTATTGGTTTCTATACAAGCTCTTATTTTGAATGCTAGACCTTTCTTTAATGAACCCGGGTATGAAAGTTTGTATCCTGGGGCTGAAGGTGAGAAGAAGTCCAGGAAGTACAATGAGGAAGTATTTATTCTATCGTTAAAGACGATGATTTACACGCTAAGAAAACCACCAAAGGTATCTTTCAATATCTAGTTTATCCATTAATTTTCTTCTATCTTTCAATATCTAGTTTAATCTTCATTGCCTGTTTGCCTTTGTTCAGTCATGTTTGTTAAGTATAATAGTTTTACTGTCCTTTTTATGCTGTCGCACTGCAAGTTTTTTTTCTATGCTCAATGTTCTGTAAAATTTACATTCTCGACATTTTTTCGTCCTGATCGAATCAGTCATGTTTTCTCTGCAGCATTTTGAGGATTTTGTTACCAGTCATTTTTGCAACCGTGCACGTGACATCCTCGTGGCATGTCAAGCATATGAAGAGGGTGCTATGATCGGCTCGGTTGTGGTTAAAGACGGCGTTCCAGACCCTAACAAAATTGTACAGGGTAGTTCTGAGGAATTTAAAGGAACAATACCGAAGATGATCAATTTGATGGCTAAAGAGTTCGTGAAAAACGGTTCAACAAACTGCAAACAGTTTCTGGCTAGCTGAAGCTGATAGATCTAAATAAGATGATGGGATGTGTTAAGCCATTATAGAAGCTAATATAGATCTCTTTAGTGTACACCTTTTGGTGAAACGTAATTTTGTCGAACTTGGTTATGACTACTTTTGGTTTATAATCTTGAAAATACGAACTCAGTGATCGACCATTGAAACAATACATCCCTGATGCTGTACAATAAGCAAGGATTGTAACAACCCAATTTTTTACAAAATAATAGTTAATTGAAATTTGAGGTTAATTGTAAAAATTAGCGAAAATTGGGGATTAAATTGAAAGATTTTAAAATTTGGAGTTTGTTTTAAAGTCAAAGAAAATTTAGGGACTAAGCCTTGAATTTAACCAAAATAATTAGGTAGATGTGGGTGTTATATGCGTGCATTTGGTTTTTGAAAACAGAAACCAAATGCTCCCAAATTATCTTCCCTCAACGCCTTTTCCGATCACGATTCCGGCGCCGTCCGAATTTCGATCGTCGTTTTGAAAACACCGTTGTGTTCATCATCAAGCGAGGAACAAACCCTTCAAATTAATTGAAGTGAAACGCTGCCAAATGTCGGGAATTTTCAGTCAAAGCATCGTCGTTTTTTTTAGCTCTATCGCCGGGAAAAACTTAAATTCACCGCCGATCGTTGTTCCGTTTACGACACCTCCTGCACCATCGTGTTCCTTGTGTCGTTGCGAGTCCGCCGGTGTCAACCTTGTTCGCCGTCAACGGCGGCGCGTGAGGAGGTGGAGCAGTCAAAGATTCGACCGAGTTGAAATACGAGCTCTCCGCCGTTCAAAAAATTTGAACCGATCGTTGTAAGTATCTCGAAATCGCTCAAAATAATTTTTAGAAATTTTTCCTGGAATTTTCCGACATCGTGGAACTGTTCACGCGCCGCACGCGCCGACGCAGAGAGAGTGAGCTGCTGGAAAACCGGTTTGACCAGTTTTGAACCGGTTTGACCGGTCTGAACCGGTTTGACCGGTCTGAACCGGGTTGACCCGACCCGACCGTTGACTGTTGACCGTTGACTTTCTTTGACTAAAACTTAAAATGGCTTTGACCAAGCATTAAATGACCGTTTATCTTTTCCGAGTATACCTATCCTGATAGTTTTCGATGTGCCGAATCCGTTTCCGCTGTCCGTTTTGTCAAATTCGAACCCTAAGGCCTCCAAATCTATGGTCAAAGTGGTTGACTTTGACTTTGACCAAGAATCTGAATTTTCGGAAAGTCATACTTTATGTTTTTCGACGTCCTGATTCCGATTCCGCAATCCGTTTGGCCAAATTCAGACTCAAAATGCCCCAAATTGATAGTCAAACTCAGAAAATGCTTATATACTTAAGAATTTTAGCTTTGAACAATTAAGTAAGATTTGGGGCTGATAAATTATTATTATTTGAAGGTACACGAGACTCACCGGATCGTTCAACAGCTCAACCCAGCTCTTCTAGATCAGTTAAACCACGTATGCCAGTATTCACCCGTAAGACTCGTAAATTTTATGATTTTAGAGATTTATTTATGTTACCCATTAGTAATATAGTGATATTATAAATTAGGTTCGAAAACTGTAGCAGAGCGTGGTGAAACCAGCAATCAGTAGATCCACGATTTGAACCTATTATCAAGGTGTGTTCCCTATTTATTACTGAACTGTTTTATTTGTTTTAATATGTGGTACACTGAATTCTTTGGTTACCGTATTGTTGATGCACCGATTTAATGTGATGATTTATGGATTATGATTGTTATCTGATATTTGTTTTGAAATGGTATATAATTACCATGTTTATGGTTTCATGGAATTTATAACACGGTGCAATTGAATTTTTGGAATATGAATTTATAAAGTACAGCTCTGATCAAGCTGGAAAATTTTACGGACTTAATGTGACTCTTAGGTAGGCTCTGCGGCCCTGAGATCATTCTCGGGTAGGCCCTGCGGCCCTAAGATGTGTTCTTAGGTAGGCCCCACAGCCCCCGAAATCTATCTTGGGTAGGCTCTCAGGCCCTAAGATGTTCCCTTAGGGTAACGTTTTTTTTAAAAGAGATTTACTGCAGTATAATTTTATGAGACTTATTGGACTATGATTTGTTTAGTGTACCTATAGTGATTTTATGGTAATATTGGGACACACTGAGCCTAGCTCACTTTTCGAAAAATGTTTTTCCCCTTTCAGATACTGTTGGTTAGATACCTTTGATTGAGCACTTGGAGGATTAACATATCACTTGAAGTATATCTGATTGTAATGTTTTTACCTTGCAAGTTGACTTTATTTTGTTAACATGAACCTTATTTTAAAGTATGAGATTTTAATATGATGACACTTTTGCTATTACTATTCGGTTTATCGTGATTTGATTTTTAAGATATGTTTTAAATTAATTTATTACCTATTGGTATTATATTTACAAGTTGGGTTTTGATAGTATGATTTATTATAATTTCATGTCATTTATAATGTGATTTTACATTGATTTAATAACGGTTTCGGAAAAATGTCTTTAAGAATCATAATGTGATCCACTAGACTTAGTCGAAACGTATAGGCAGGGTCTAGGGGGTTACAAGGATGGATCAATGAGCGGGTGTGATAGTTGTCTCCTAAAAATTTTAAATTCCTATACATATTTTTACTGAAAATCTGTGTCTTACCTAAAATTTTATAAATTTATCTTTTCTACGTTCTAACATAAAATTCTGTGTCCAAGTTAAAAGTGTGACCATTTCATTAGGTTAATCATTAAAATTGATACCACTTTATAATTGCAGCGATAGCTGCCTTTTAACTGTGATAACAGAAAGTGGAAACTTCCCTACAAGTTCTGACATGTGGTGCCACTTAGTTCCATAAGTCCAAATTTATTTATATTTTAGCTACCCCAACAACCTGCTTAACAATGTAGACCGTTCTTATTATTGTGTTCAGAAATGAATGAATAAGAAATTATGATTCGATTTGATACAATATAACATAATTTAAGTGGTAAGTAGCTTGATAATGCTTAAGAAAGTTTTGTGTTCGAGTCATTGTCTATGTAGAAAATCTTTTCTGAGAGATTCACTAACCAAAATAAAATGTATAACTCGTGTCAATCCGTGTCAAGGTAAAACCTTAAGAATCAAAAGTACAACAAAAAAAATTAAGAAAATAAAGATATGGTACTTTGGAGTTTTTTTTTAAAAAAAAAAAGGTGTTACAACACATCTGTAATTTTTTTTCCATAAAAAATCAGGCAAAATTTGTATTTTAATTGTTTTCGCAAATATTCAACACTATCCCTAACAGAATGAATAAATAGATAAAAAGAAAGGTAACGTGTGAGTGAAGAAGACCTGTTGTATTTCAGACAAAAGAATAAGAAATATCGTACAATCTCTAAGCAAAGTACAAAGCTATAATGGCTATTGGGAAAAGTTCAAAATCAACGTAGAATCGATGTTCCCCAGAAAAATTCGAGGGAATAAACAAAATGAAATGAAAAGAAAAAAAAATTAATTACAACAAATCTGATGGAGCTGGCCATTATGAACATTATATATCAGTATGATGGTGATCACAGTCGAACTAACGGCATGGCAACAGGCAGCATCTCCTCTCTCATTCAAGAACCTACCATAAATCAACTCTGGTTCGAATAGTCTCGCGATGAATACCTACCTGCAGAATATAATGCCAAGAAACCAGTAGCAATCCATGACATTGCTTAAGTGCTCACTGTTTGATTAAACTGTTCCAAGAAAATAACAAGAAGCATTTAGAAATCCGTATGAATGGCCTAGCGTGCCGCAGGTTCGCGTCTTCTATAAAAACATGGCATGTAAATAGCTTCAGCAAGCACCCAAGCTACATGGGAATACTCCCAAAGCTCCCCTACTTCTAAGCTACGACAATTCAATCAGCAATGGCCTAAGAAACTTGGAAGACAGACAGTGACATTCTACATCAAGGCTCGAGAGGACTTCAACGATAAACAATTTGTCTGATTCTAGCCTTTTCTACAGCTAGGTATTCAAATCAGAACTAAGGTACTTCTATATTCTACGATAAATTGCTAAGAAAAAGAACAGGTCTCAACCGGAAGTTCATTAGTTTGAAATTATCTTAAAACACAGCAATGAGAGCTTCACCAAGTACCACTGTATAATTGCAGCAATAGCTGCATTTTAACTGTGATAATGAAAAGTAGAAACTTCATATGGTAAGCAGACAATAGACAGGACAGGTTATGAAATGCGATTTTATGTATGTTTCCAGCGAAAGTGAACTGAGAATGACAGGAGGGTCATTACATCTCAAGCTTGTCGCTTGTTTTGGACTCTGAACTTCAACAAACATGTATAAACATGGATGGACCAACAACCAAATCAAAGCCTTTAAGGGAAAAAAAACATCTCAAAATGGAATGCACAGCACAATTGCATCAATCAAATGATTTACTAGAATTTTCAGACCACAATTCCAAAAATCCAAAATGACTGATTGAACCGAACCGAACTCGGCCCTAACAGTAAAGTAGCAAGAGGCTACAAAAGTTTGGCATTCATGGCAATATTTCATAAACCACCGTCCTCCAATTTCTATCACCCAATAATATATAACCATTATCTGCGGCCTGCTGCATGACAAGTCAAATTCAAAACAAAATTCAACAGAGCTTAGGAGCAGCATGAACCAACCTAGCTGCAACTTATTCGAACAGATGAAGCTAAAAAACTTCATGGTCCACAAACAGGGTCAACTTTACCTAAAAGAAAAAAAAAAAATCCCATAGCATGTTATATCATTATGATGCAGGAAATTAGTACCAAAGCAGAAAGAAACAATTGAATGGAATTCAGAGTTTTAAAGACAGTTATGTACAAGAAAGTGAAATTATGGACAGAAAGAAATTACAGCCTCTCATTTGGGAAATAAATAATAAAAAACTTCAGAAAGAAAAAAACAAAACCTAAGAATATGCATAACCAAACAGCATTATGCTAAAGTATAACTCTACCCACAAATCAAATAACCCCTTAGCATTTAAACTACTAAATAAATAAAGTCAGGCATCGGGGTAATTTTAATCTATGTCCGGGCAATAGAAACCATAAAAGAGACAATAGCTGGTAAGTT